CAGGCTTTTATTTTACTGTTCTGTTTAAAACATTCGGTTATGAAAAGGTACAAATACAAACTTTTCACCTGGAAACACTTATTTAAGGTTCACAATCAGACCTTAAAACCACTGTTGGAGCTTTGAGGAACATTTACACTGTTTGTACCTTGAAGAACGAAAAATGTACCTGAAGAGAATCGTTATTTCTAACAGTGCAGGTCAAATGATCTCCAAACTAGGGGAGCACAAGGAACAATCTAACACGGGGGCACAATTTAACTCCAATGTTTTATGTTGTTATAGAAGGTCAAGCAGCTTCTGACCACATCACCACATTTCCCCACCGCAGTCTCCCACCAAAACTCACCTTTCGTAAACAAAGACTAATGAAGTACATTTCGTCTTTTTGTTCCACACAGATTTACAGTGTTTACACCGACGTGTGATGTTTTTTATTTACTGGACTAAAATAAATCTGTCATTGTTTGACACACAGACTCAGTCAGTGTTCAAATATAATCTGATGTGTGTATCAGTTGATCTGTCTGTCTGTCTGTCTGTCTTATAGATGATAATGTATAATGCCGTACGGCTGGAAATATATTTGAATTATACTGAATTAACTATGTTCACACTGATTGATCAGACTTTTCTAGCAGGTGTTAAACTGACCCTGTGTCAGTTACAGTGAACCCGCCCATGGGCTAAACTGGAACACTGCACTTCCCTCATTTTGGGTGGAACTGCACTGAATGCTAGGTGTTAGAAACAGTTCGAAAAGTTCAAGTGTTGGTTTATAGCAGAGACGTTTATGTTGCTTCTATAAAAATATGATTATTCCAATTTAAATATTAAAATTATTTCACAAACAGTAAAATGTGTTTTGCTCTCTCTGCTCAGTGTTTGCACTCTGGATCCTGAATGTGCTCGGAATTCAGAGGATCCGGTCCCATTCAGAGGAAAAAGGTATGGAGGAGGAAACGTATCAGGTCTGGAACCTTCTGAGCACCACTGGCTGAGACAGCAGCGACTTTCATAAACACACAGATTTTTCTCAAAGAGAAGTCCAGCTTGCACATCGTTACCACGGCAACCTCTGTGGAAACGCAAGTAAATGTAACTGCAGTCTGACCGGACAAATCAGATTTGGTCACTTGTAACTTAAAAAATGAGCAGTCGGCCTAAAAGTCAGACATGAAGAAGAAACGTGATCTGCCCTGCAGTGCGGACAGTGCAGACAGTGTTGACAGTGCGGACAGTCCGGACAGTGCAGACAGTGCAGACAGTGTGGACAGTGTGGACAGTGCAGACAGTGCGGACAGTGTCGTTCTGAGAGACTTGATACGCGTCAGAGCAGAAAACTGACCACTGAGTTCCAGATTTAACCCACCAATCAGGATCAAACTGAGAAAACCCTGATAACTGTGGCAGCTTAATGTACAATAAACACCAGGTCTGATTAAAAGGGGGCGGGGCTTATGAGGCTGAGAATTATTTGTCAATAATGAGCATCTGTTAATGACAGAATAAAATACAGAATAAAAGTCTCTCACATGCGCACAAACGAATAAAGTTCACCGTAAGCTTACTGTAATGAGGAAAATTAAAAAATACATAAAAAACAGACTTTCAGACACCAAACAAACAAGCAAATAAATAGCAATAATAATGATAATAATAATAATAATAATAATAATAGTAGTAGTAATGTCAATAACAATGATAATAATAACAGCTGAGTGCTCACCTGCAGTACGTTGATGATGTAGATGTTTAAACTGAACACTGAGATGTTTTGTGAATGTGTGACCGTCAAGGCGGTAATGAGATGGTTGGTTGAGCGTGTGCTGTTTAACTCTGTCTTCCTCTCTCTCTCTCTTCCTCCCTCTCTCTCTCTCTCTCTCTCTTCCTCTCTCTTCACACTCTGCTGAGTTCCTGTAATGTTCAGCGTTTCTCCACAGCACCTCGCCCTCCTCTCTCCTCACTTCAGCCTCACTGCAGCTCTTCAGGGTTCTTCAGCGTTCTTCAGAGTTCTTCAGGGTTCTTTACGGGGTCAACTGTCAGAGCTGACTGTGAATAAAGTGTAAATGTTACAGAGCTGACTGTGAATAAAGTGTAAATGTTACAGAGCTGACTGTGAATAAAGTTTAAATGTTACAGAGCTGATAGAGGCCGTTAGCTCTTTAACAGGATGAATGATGATGAGGTGTTTTAGGAGCTGAAATGTCAACTGTGCTACATCCGTGCTAACAGCATGCTAACAGCGTGCTAACAGTGTGCTAACAGCGTGCTAACACTCCTGCACGCTGAGTGACTCTGTGTGAAAGTGCTGTTAAACTTTTACACTGTTATAAACCAACAGCAGCTCCTCGACTTTCCTCTCAGCTTATTTGTGAAGGACAAACAGTAAAGTCTCAAGTCTTTGATGCACATCTCCTTGATATATAACAGCCATATCCAATAAGCTTTGGAACATCAGTCCCTCGCAGCTCTTTCACCACAGCATCAGCACTGTTAGCTCAAAACTTTATAACATTAGTTCATAACTTAATAACCTCATAACTTTAGAATATAAACGTCCAGCTGCCCAAAACCTGTTACTGCAGAGAAGATACTGCATGTTTACTTTTACTTTTTAATCTAATACATTCTTCTACTTTCCGAAATTGATGAAGTTCCTGCTAGAAACCTGTAGCTCCATTCATGGAGGACTGTCTCGCGGTGCCCTCTACTGGTTCTGTGTTTGATATAAAGGGAAGGACAGCGGTAATATTTCACCACAGTGTAAATACGGCATTTTAAATGCAGTTAAACTGAGTAATTTACAGCACTGCTGTGTCGCTGTGACTCAGAGATAAAGTGGTGTGTTCTAATAAGCTCATGAGCGCCACCTGCTGGTTCAACAGACACTTAACATTAACTTTCTTCACCCAATCAGCGATGAACAACCTCAGGCCTGGGCTGCGTTTAGCCCTGCTAGCAAACATAAACAGTGATGTGTTGAACACTCTGTTGTGTTACGCAAGCGCTGCGCATACGGCAGATTTAAAAAACTTTACAATAAAATAGTTACGACAAACATCTTATATCATATTTAATCGTTGCGAACACTGAGCTGCCTGTCCAGACTTTATTAGAATAAACAGGCAGTTTTTGTTACTTTTCCTTTAAGATCTCCAAAATGGTAACTTTATAGGAGAAAGAAAAAAAAACCTGCTTTACTTTTAATGTAAGTCAATTTTATTGAACTTAAAAATGTGAAAGGTGCAGCATGTTTGCTGCATTAAACTGTTGCAATACTGTAAAAAAGCTGTATTACAACCAAATGGTGTTCGGTTTATGAGCAACATTATCAGCCCTCCTTGATGCCTCGCCCACTACAGGATAATGGGGCTGATTTTGAGGCCGATTTGTTCCTCAGGACAAACACAGAATGTCTCCTGATATCAGAGGGATCTTAAACGCTGATCCTCCAGATGATCCTGAGCTGCAGAGCATCTATAATCCAGTCTTTACTCTTCTGATCTGCTCCCAGTCAGTCAGGGCTCCGATCGAGAATCATAAACACTAAACATGTTCAACTCAGCGTCCAGTAGTTTGGGTTTCAGGATCAGAGCCGCTGCTCGGGGCTCCTGCTGGTGTGTATAATCTGAGTGTGGCGTGTTTCGTTCAGGGCAGATGGTGCAGTTTGGGGGACTTTAATGACCCACAGTGAAAGTGTTTGTGTGTGAGGCTTGCGCGCCTCAACATCAGTGAGGATTTTTTAAAGCCCTGTAGAGAGTCGGATATGACCTGACCGTCTCAGTGACCCCAAGACTCACATCTTCTGTACTAACACACCACCGCCAGCAGAGGGCGCCGCTGTATTACTGCATTACTGTATTATTGTATCACTGTGTTTATTACTGTTTTACTGTATTACTGTATTAATATATTACTGTATCATTATATTACTGTTTATTATTCTATTACTGTATTACTGTTACTTCATTACTGTGTTACTGTATTATTATTATATTACTGTGTTTATTACTGTATTATTATATTACGGTATTACTGTGTATTAATATATGTTAATGTATGATTATGTTTCTGTCTAATATGAATACTGTAATCTATAAATATGGACTAAATTCAGGTTTCAAGATGGAACGGAAGGACGATCAGAGTATTCAGAGAATTTACTCTTAAATATTACTCAAACAAACACACACACACACACACACACACACTCACACACACACACTCACACACAGCCGTGTAGAGTTAAACTGCAGCCTGAATATCAGCGGCAGTTTGTAGTTTTGTGGAGATTTTATTTGACTCTTGTGTTATTTGGTGTTAATTTTCCGCGGAGCTCATTTTCATTCGAGTGGGCATTTAAACCTCGTGTTTCAGTCGTTCAATCAGAGACGGTGTGACGAGGCCTGAGGCGAAATCCGCGCTTTGATTGGATGAGAGGCTGAGCTGAGGGCGTGGAATGCAAAGCGCAGCGCGTATTATTTTATTTCCAACCCGCATTCCGGTGGGGTAAGCGTTAGGGAAAACCCCGCCCCTCCGGCGCTGGGATTGGCTAGTAGTTTCAGAGTGACAAGCAGGACAGCAGCGTTTATAAAACACACTGGAGCTCTTTATGGTTGCATATTAATGAGAAGGTGCAGAAACATCAGTGAAGTGCTGACATGACGTCACTGCAGAGGGATCTGATGATGATTTTTTAAATTAAAGTATTTTATGTAGTTCTGATCTTTTAAATAACATAAATAAACATGTGAATGAAGTCATATTCATCATTTACATCTATTAAACAATTTATAAACACACTATTAAATATTATTAAATTATCATTTCTGATTTTTTCTCATCCAAACAGCGGACTGTTGAAGAGCAACTGGCCAATCACGGGCCTGGAGGGCGGGACTTTTGCGTTCTAATACGGCAGAGTGCTTGCCTGTCTGAATCCACCATCAGCCAATGAGAGCGCAAGAGGGGCGGGGTCTGTCTGAATACGGGTGTGAAAAGAAAACTAATAATGACGGTCAGCACGACCTGCCTGACACATTCCGCATAGCGAGCAGGATTAAAAGGGTCGAAACGAGACGAAAACAGTTTATTTACTGTTTATTGTTTTTACTTTTACTGCGACCCTCAGTTTTAATGCGGACCTCTCCGCCTCCGGCAGGCTGGTCTGTGCGCTGCTGGCCGGTCTGTCCTCCTCTGAGCCGGCGGTGCGGCAGCGCTTTAGCTCCGGCTCGGTGTTAGCCTGTTAGCCTCGGGCAAGCCGGGCGCAGGATGGACTTCGTGCTGGGCGGAGTGGCCGCGTGCGGCGCGTGTGTGTTCACCAACCCGCTGGAGGTGGTGAAGACCCGAATGCAGCTGCAGGGAGAGCTGCAGAGCCGCGGCTCTTACCGGGTTCACTACCGGAACGTGTTCCACGCCTTCTACACCATCGGGCGCGTGGAGGGTCTGGGTGGGCTGCAGCGGGGGCTGCTGGCCGGGATGATGTACCAGTTCTTCATGAACGGGGTTCGGCTCGGTTCCTACGCCCTGATCGAGTCCGCCGGATACATCCACACGGAGGGCCGGGTCAGTGCGGCGAAGAGCACCGCCGCCGGGGCGCTCAGCGGGGTGGTGGGCGCCGTGATGGGCAGCCCGATATACCTGGTGAGTGAGAGATGAACCTTACAGCTCTCCAGCGCTGTGACCCCAGGCTTTCAGTCCTCCAGAAGGCTGGACTGGTCAGTCACAGGCCACTCAGGGTCACTAATAATCATAATGACGCTCATGATAATATTACCAAGCCATCTTCATCCACACATCTGCCTGTGCGTGATTAAAGGGTCTCTGCACGGCAAAATGGGTCTTCAGACTGATGGAGAACGTGTTCTACATTGTTCTATATAGCACCAAAAAGGGTTTACGAGCTTGACATCGTAACAGTATCAGAACCGTTTTTGGTGCTACATGGAACCACTTTCAAAAAGGTTCTATGTAGAACCATATGCAACATATTCTCCATAGAACCATTGGCTTTACTAAAGAACCCTTGGAGAACCATCTTTTTAAGACAGTAGGTGGTATATGAGTGGCAGGTCAATAATAATAAATGTAGACTGAAGATGAATGATAGACAAATGGTAGATGTTACATGCCGATGGTGGAGAAATGGTAGATGATGGTAGATGTAGATGGCAGATGTGGGTCACTGGTCTCCAGTCCTGGTCCTGGACCTACCTTCCTACAGAACTTGGTTCCAACATGTATCCAATACGCTGCCCCGCCCCTCACTGAACTCTAATACACATTTACAGCATGTAGCAGACGCTCTGATCCAGAGCGACTTTTAAAAAATAATACACCTGACCCAGCCAATCAGGGACCTGGGAAGAGGTGTATTATCTGAAGCAGGTGTGGCCCACTGTGGTTGGAACCAGGCTCTGTGGGAAGGCAGTTCTCCAGGAGCAGGGCTGGGGTCCTCTGGACCACTATTGTAGATATTCTGCTGATTTGATGAGTCATGTGATCACTCTCTGATTTCCTCTATGTCTACACAGGTCAAAACTCACCTGCAGAGCCAGTCCACCTCCACCATCGCTGTGGGTCACCAGTATCAGCACCGGGTCAGTTACAGTGTGTTTCAGTTTCAGTTCAGTCCAGTGAGGAAACTCCGAGCTGCAGTAGCGGAATTGACCACAGAAACACGCTCACCTGAATCAGCACTGCCTGTGCTGCCTTCGCGCCATAGGGGGAGTGTGTAGGGGAGGCGTGTAGGGGAGGCGTGTAGGGGAGGCGTGTAGGGGGAGTGTGTAGGGGGAGTGTGTAGGGGAGGCGTGTTGTGGGAGGTGTGTAGGGGAGGCGTGTAGTGGGAGGTGTGTAGGGGAGGCGTGTAGTGGGAGGTGTGTAGGGGAGGCGTGTAGGTGGAGTGTGTAGGGGAGGCGTGTAGGTGGAGTGTGTAGGGGAAGCGTGTAGGGGGACTGTGTAGGGGAGGCGTGTAGGGGAAGTGTGTAGGGGAGGCGTGTGGGGAGGCATGTAGGGGAGGCGTGTAAGGGGAGGCGTGTAGTGGAGGCGCGTAGGGGAAACGTGTAGGGGAGGTGCGTAGGGGGAGGCGTGTGGGAGTGTGTAGTGGGAGGTGTGTAGGGGAGGCGTGTAGGTGGAGTGTGTAGGGGAGGCGTGTAGGGGGAGGTGTGTAGAAAAGGTGTGTCAGGGAGGCGTGTAGGTGGAGTGTGTAGGAGAGACGTGTAGGTGGAGTGTGTAGGGGAGGTGTGTAGGTGGAGTGTGTAGGGGAAGTGTGTAGGGGAGGTGTGTAGGGGGAGTGTGTAGGGGAGGTGTGTAGGGGAGGCATGTAAGGGAAGCTGTGTAGGGGGAGATGTGTAGGGGAGGCACGTAGGGGAAACGTGTTGGGGAGGTGTGTAGGGGGAGTGTGTAGGGGAGGCGTGTAGTGGGAGTGTGTAGGGGAGGCGTGTAGGGGAGACATGTAGGGGGAGTGTGTAGGGGAGGCGTGTAGAGGGAGTGTGTAGGGGAAGCGTGCAGGGGAAGCGTGCAGGGGAGGCGTGTAGGGGAGGCGTGTAGGGGGAGTGTGTAGGGGAGGTGTGTAGGGGGAGTGTGTAGGTGAGGTGTGTAGTGGAGGTGTGTAGGGGAGGTGTGAAGGGGGAGGTGTGTAGAGGGGGTGTGTAGGGGAGGTGTGTAGGGAGATGTGTAGGGGAGGTGTGTAGGGGTGTGTGTGTGGGAGGTGTGTAGGGGAGGTGTGTAAGGGGGTGTGTGTAGGGGAGGTGTGTAGTTGGAGGTGTGTAGGGGGTGTGTGTAGGGGAGGTGAGTAGTGGGAGGTGTGTAGGGGAGGTGTGCAGTGGGGGTGTGTAGTGGGAGGTGTGTAGGGGGGTGTGTGTAGTGGGAGGTGTGTAGGGGAGGTGTGTAGGGAGGTGTGTAGCGGAGGTGTGTACGGGCGTGTGTGTAGGGGAGATGTGTAGGGGAGCTGCGTAGTGGGAGGTGTGTAGGGGAGGTGTGTAGAGGAGGTGTGTAGGGGAGGCGTGTAGGGGGAGTGTGTAGGGGAGGCGTGTAAGGGAAGGCGTGTAGTGGGAGGTGTGTAGGGGGAGTGTGTAGGGGAGGCGTGTAGAGGAGGCATGTAGGGGAGGCGTGTAAGGGAAGGCGTGTAGTGGGAGGTGTGTAGGGGAGGTGTGTAGGGGAGGTGTGTAGGGGAGGCGTGTAAGGGAAGGCGTGTAGTGGGAGGTGTGTAGGGGAGGTGTGTAGGGGGAGGTGTGTAGGGGAGGTGTGTAAGGGAAGGCGTGTAGTGGGAGGTGTGTAGGGGAGGTGTGTAGGGGAGATGTGTAGGGGAGGCGTGTAAGGGAAGGCGTGTAGTGGGAGGTGTGTAGAGGTGGTGTGTAGGGGGGTGTGTAGGGGAGGTGTGTAGGGGAGGTGTGTAGGGGGAGTGTGTAGGGGAGGCGTGTAAGGGAAGGCGTGTAGTGGGACGTGTGTAGGGGAGATGTGTAGGGGAGGTGTGTAGGGGGAGTGTGTAGGGGAGGCGTGTAAGGGAAGGCGTGTAGTGGGAGGTGTGTAGGGGAGGTGTGTAGGGGGGAATGTGTAGGGGAGGCGTGTAAGGGAAGGTGTGTAGTGGGAGGTGTGTAGGGGAGATGTGTAGGGGAGGTGTGTAGTGGGAGGTGTGTAAGGGAAGGCGTGTAGTGGGAGGTGTGTAGGGGAGATGTGTAGGGGAGGTGTGTAGTGGGAGGTGTGTAAGGGAAGGCGTGTAGTGGGAGGTGTGTAGGGGAGGTGTGTAGGGCGCGAGGGAGGATAAATGAAATGGAGGAGGTTGATCGTGTGAAGAACCCGCCTGCTCACCAGGATCATAGTAGCTTTGTGTGTCTGCTGAGCTTTTCGCTTCTACACCGAATAAAAGCTAAAAACCTGCTGTGTGATTCTGTTATCTGTAAACACAGAAATGCAGCTGGGCCTGTTTACAGATAACAGTGTCAGATACCAAACCGCCTGTGAGTGTGTAGGGGAGGTGTGTAGGGGAGGTGTGTAGGGGGAGGTGTGTAGGGGAGGTGTGTCTGGGAGGTGTGTAGGGGAGGTGTGTAGGGGGAGGGGTGTAGGGGAGGTGTGTAGGGGGAGGCGTGTAGGGGGAGTGTGTAGGGGAGGCGTGTAGGTGGAGTGTGTAGTGGGAGGTGTGTAGCGGAGGTGTGTAGGGGGAGGTGTGTAGAGGAGGTGTGTCAGGGAGGCGTGTAGGTGGAGTGTGTAGGAGAGGCGTGTAGGTGGAGTGTGTAGGGGAAGTGTGTAGGGGAGTGTGTAGGGGGAGTGTGTAGGGGAAGTGTGTAGGGGAGTGTGTAGGGGGAGTGTGTAGGGGAGGTGTGTAGGGGAGGCGTGTAGGGGAGGCGTGTAAGGGAAGGCGTGTAGGGGAGGCGCGTAGGGGAAACGTGTAGGGGAGGTGCATAGGGGAAACGTGTAGGGGAGGCGTGTAGGGGAGGCGTGTAGGGGAGTGTGTAGGGGAGGCGTGTAGGGGGAGCGTGTAGGGGAGGCGTCTAGGGGAGACGTGTTGGGGAGGCATGTAGGGGGAGTGTGTAGGGGAGGTGTGTAGGGGAGGCATGTAAGGGAAGCTGTGTAGGGGGAGATGTGTAGGGGAGGCGCATAGGGGAAACGTGTTGGGGAGGTGTGTAGGGGGTGTGTAGGGGGAGGTGTGTAGGGGAAATGTGTAGGGGAGGTGTGTAGGGGGGTGTGTGTAGGGGAGGTGTGTAGTGGGGGTGTGAAGGGGAGGTGTGTAGAGGGGGTGTGTGGGGCAGGTGTGTAGAGGGGGTGTGTAGGGGAGGTGTGTAGGGGAGGTGTGTAGAGGGGGTGCGTAGGGGAGGTGTGTAGGGGAACTGTGTATGGGAGGTGTGTAGGGGAGGTGGGTATGTGAAGCATGTAGGAGAGGTGTGTACGGGAGGTGTGTAGGGGGAGTTTGTAGGGGAGGCTTGTAGGGGGAGTGTGTAGGGGAGGCGTGTAGGGGAGACGTGTAGGTGGAGTGTGTAGGGGAGGTGTGTAGGGGAGGCGTGTAAGGGAAGGTGTGTAGGGTGAGGTGTGTAGGGGAAACATGTAGGGGAGGTGTGTAGGGGGTGTGTAGGGGGGGTGTAGGGGAGGTGTGTAGGGGAAGTGTGTAGGGGAGGTGTGTAGTGGGAGGTGTGTAGTGGGAGGTGTGTAGGGGGGTGTAGGGGAGGTGTGTAGGGGGAGTGTGTAGGAGAGGTGTGTAGGGGAAATGTGTAGGGGAGGTGTGTAGGAGAGGTGTGTAGTGGGAGGTGTGTAGGGGGGTGTAGGGGAGGTGTGTAGGGGAGGTGTGTAGGAGAGGTGTGTAGGGGAAATGTGTAGGGGAGGTGTGTAGGAGAGGTGTGTAGTGGGAGGTGTGTACACGAGGATCATAGTAGCTTTGTGTGTCTGCTGAGCTTTTCGCTTCTACAACAAATAAAAGCTAAAAACCTGCTGTGTGATTCTGTTATCTGTAAACACAGAAATGCTGCTGAGCCTGTTTACAGATAACAGTGTCAGATACCAAATCGCCTGTGAGTGTGTAGGGGGAGGTGTGTAGGGGAGGTGTGTAAGGGGAGGTGTGTAGGGGGGTGTGTAGTGGGGGGGTGTGTAGGGGAGGTGTAAGGGAGGTGTTTAGGGGAAATGTGTAGGGGGAGGTGTTTAGGGGGTGTGTGTAGGGGAGGTGTGTAGTGGGGGTGTGTAGGGGAGGTGTGTAGAGGGGGTGTGTAGGGGAGGTGTAAGGGAGGTGTGTAGTGGGAAATGTGTAGGGGGAGGTGTGTAGTGGGGTGTGTAGGGGAGGTGTGCAGGGGGTGGTGTGTAAAGGGGCTGTGTAGTGGAGGTGTTTAGTGGAGGTGTGTAGGGGAGGCGTGTAGGGGAGGTGTGTAGTGGAGGTGTGTAGGGGAGGTGTGTAGGGAGAGGTGTGTGGGGGAGGTGTGTAGGGGGGTGTGTAGGGGAGGTGTGTAGTGGGAGATGTGTAGGGGAGGGGTGTAGGAGAGTTGTGTAGGGGAGGTTTGTAGAGGGGGTGTGTAGGGGTGTGTGTAGGGGGTGTGTAGGGGAGGTGTCTAGTGGAGGCGTGTAGGGGAGGTGTGTACTGGGGGTGTGTAGGGGGGGTGTGTAGGGGATGTGTGTAGGGGAGGTGTGTAGGGGGAGGTGTGTAGGGGGGTGTGTATGGAAGGTGTGTAGTGGGGGTGTGTAGGGAGGTGTAAGGGAGGTGTTTAGGGGAAATGTGTAGGGGAGGTGTTTAGGGGGTGTGTGTAGGGGAGGTGTGTAGTGGGGGTGTGTAGGGGAGGTGTGTAGAGGGGGTGTGTAGGGGAGGTGTAGGGGAGGTGTGTAGTGGGAAATGTGTAGGGGGAGGTGTGTAGTGGGGTGTGTAGGGGAGGTGTGTAGGGGAGGTGTGTAGTGGGGGTGTGTAGGGGAGGTGTGTAGTGGAGGTGTGTAGGGAGAGGTGTGTAGAGGGGTGTGTAGGGGAGGTGTGTAGTGGAGGTGTGTAGGGGAGGTGTGTAGGAGGAGGTGTGTAGGGGAGGTGTGTAGGGGGAGGTGTGTAGAGGGGTGTGTAGGGGAGGTGTGTAGTTGAGGTGTGTAGGGGGAGTGTGTAGGGGAGGCGTGTAAGGGAACGTGTGTAGGGGGAGGTGTG